GAGTAGAAACATGTAAAGTCCCTGGATCTGTACTGAGTTTTGGAACAGCCCTGAAGCGGCCCTCTCTCTTTCTCTGGACACTTGCTAGGTAAGATCATATGTGCCCTTTTTACTTAAGCCACCATCACTTGGCTTTTCTCTTACTTGCAGCCAAAAGCAGCCTCACTCTCAAGTCCCAATATTCAGTGTTCTAGAGATGAATGAGCTCTGGATTTTGAGTCAAATGACCTTAGTTTTAATCCCCTTATTTTTCTAATGTCCCAAATTGCTTAATCTCTCTGAATCTTCATTTTCTATACCTATAAGAGTGAGATAACACTTAGTAACACATTAACACTCATAAAATGGATATAATAAGGATAGTTATGAACATGTGATAATTTGTACACCACCATTCTGTCAATAGCAATGTTCTGCTCAAATGTAGTTTGTCTGCTTAATAATTAAACTATAGACTTTTTAACTATAGCCATCTATCTAACTCAACACCTTTATTTTACAAAAACAGAAAATTAACTCAAAATGATTTACTCAAGATCACACGATGGGTTGATAACATAACTAAACCACACATTTGATTCTCAAACCCATGCTGTCGTGTTGACTTCACATTGACAGGTAATGAATAAATACTGATTGGGTTAGAACTCATTCATCCAACTAGTGTTTAATGAACGCATATTGTATGCCAGGTCCTACTTTGAGTACTAGGGATTCAGTGGTTAAAAAACATCACAGCAAAATATCCCTACCCTTGTGAAATTAACAGTCTAAAGAGGAAATTATCTGATCTATATCTATATTTATTGAATGTCTACCACTACAAATGTACAAAGCACTGTTAGAATTTCTATTCAAATACCAATTTCCAGCCAATTCCAACAATGTCAGCCATGTTTATCAGACTTTGCCAAAGAATGAATAATGTCAAAAGTCTATATTTTGCCCAATAAAAGTCAGAATTAAAAATGGCAATTTCATTAGAAAGAGTTGTGACCAGCTATGCCAGAACTAAAATGAGAGAGAGAGTTAGAGCTAAGCCTCATCCTCCTACAATATCCAAATTCAGGAGCTTGCTCCGTTGGATAAGGCCAAGCAGAGAAGCAACTCCTTCCCTTCTCCAAGCCTCTAACCGGAGCCCTGGGCTCTTCTTTCACTCCCTGTCCATTTGGAATTCCTCTTCCATCCTGCCTAAACATTCACACACAAGTGATATAATGGGACAGCATCCCAGACCTGGGGACAAAGCTAGTGACTTTGGCATCTCCTACAAGAACTAGTCAATAGTCTGCTGAGACTTGGCCATTAGGTTGTGTGTTTAAAAGTTTTCTTTGCCTAAATATCACCAAAATTATATCACTTAAAAAGGGAATATTTAATAGCTGTTAATTTACAAAAGCTCTTTCCTATAATTAATATGGTGGTAGATGCAAAGACCCCAGGGGGAAATATATAGCAAGAGGAATATCTTGCCTTCCCCTCCACCCCCAGGGAAGGCACGCTGAAGAGGAACAAAGTCCATGTTCCTTCACCACCACACCTGTATGTAATCAGAGTATAGGCAAGCAATTCTCCCTGAGCTTCTGGCTTAGTTCAGGTGTCATCTTTTGATGCACAGGCATAATTTGGGGGTACTATAATCTGAAATGTGAGAAGGCAGTGTGCAGAAGCTAATGAAGCATTTATGAACAGTTTCTTTGAAAACAAAAACCCAGTTTCCTGAGGATGGAAATGCCCCCAGTGCCTTTGGATTGGGGCATTCCAATCAGCTCTGGGATACCAGCCTCCCTGCCAGACTCTGAACACATTGAGTTTGCAAACTTGCAAGGAGGCCATTCGGATCATGAATCTCAACTGGCCTTTCGTCAGTGCTTCAAACTCATACCTTGGATTTATCTCCTTCAGTGTAGGGAAATTCCACTGAAATTTCAGCTATCAAATAATATATCAGAGACACACACAAGTTTTGGATCCAGACAATTCTGGATTTGAATTCCAGCTGCTCAATCTATTTTTAGAGATGTGCCTTGAACAAGTCACTTAAGCTCTTAGTGGCTCAGTTTTTTCATCCTTAAAATGGGAATAATATCTACTTGAAACATTGTAGTGGACATCAGAAATAATGAGTGTAAAGGTGGCACACAAGAGATTCTTAAGAAATGGTATATAAAACTATTCACCTGGTCCCAACAGCAGTTCTCGGGTTTCTATCATCCCCTGCAGCCATCATCTGCAGCTGCACTCCAGCACCTTGCTAGGAAAATCTGTGTGAGAGGTTCATTTTTCTTTCAATCTAGAATGCTCACTTACCAGGAATGCAGACTAATGAGCTCCCAAGGATGAGTGGCCTGAGTTTTATTTTGGGCTCCACCAGCACTCCCAGAGTGAACACAGCAGCTAACACATGTCCAAGAGCCTTTGCTGCTCTTACAGAGTCTCCCAAGCCAGGGAGGCTCCAGGGATAAACACTCCTAATTCAAGCAGGCAGGCATGGGCTAAGAGGCAGGGTGTGTGTGATACTCTGAGACAGTCCATATAGTCCTTTAGTTTTGTGATTCTATGGGAGGAAAGAAGGAAACATGGCTAGATTCTCCCAGAACAAGCACTGGTAACTCCAAGTTATTTTGGTTTGGTTTGAGTATTTTTTAAATCCCTTTGTTCTCACTCTAAGCAAATGGGGAATCTTTGTAATCTCATACTTGGAAATGTCATTTAAATTTCTGGTTTGGAATACTCTAGGAAGATATGAGGTCCAGAATCACCAAAACAAAATCTTTTAATTCATTTTAATTCGTTAGATATTAATATCCATTTGAGTGCAGAAAGAGAAGGAAAACATGCACCACAACACATTTAATTTTTTTTAAATCAATGCCCCGGTGAAAATTTTGAACCATAACATTTTAACCTCTTTGACATGAATTAGGCCATAAAAACTCAAACTTTCCAAACTGGTATTAATTTGCTACAATTTATTGCTTCCCAGAACACCAGACAACAAATCCATGTCCTTTGGGGACTATTTATCTATTTTAAGGAAGACTTAGTCCCGAGAGAGGGAGAAAAAAAACAAATGTCAACTTCAAGTGTTTCAAGGTGGGCAGAGGGCTAAGGAACAGAGAAGACCTCAGCAGCCTCACTCTCTACTGCTGGCCCCTCCATACCTACAGATTCCTTGCAAGTTAAAAGACCCGTACATCCACTTTAGAACTTAAAGCAAAGTGCACAAACCACTCTCTCTGAATCACATGACACTACATGCCAAACATTTCTGTGCAACCCTCATAGCAGCAGAAAAACTGCCTATCCTGCTAATCCTTTTATTATGAAGTATAGCAGCGGTGCTCAGCTCAGAATGAAATTCAAGATCCTCCAGAAAATTCAATGGGAGCCTACTTTCCTGGGAGATCATAGGGCACCACATTCCTGCCTTGAAACTTGTCCAGCTGTCAGCTTACAGATTAGTTGCAACTGTCGGGTGTCACAAACTCCCTCTAGCAAAAATTTAATATAAAAAAAATTTTTAAAGCTAAAACAGGGAAAGGCCTTTCATTCATTCACGCCTCACACAGCCTATAGGCAGATTCCTGCCGCTGGGAGACACTGCCTCCTTCACCTCCCACGGGCAAAGGTGGTGTCCCCTGTGTTTTAAGAACAGCTCCATTCTGGAGCCTCAAGATTCAGGCAGGTAATATGGGGAGAGGGGAGGGGCGGGAGGAGGGTGGGGGAGGGAGAGTGATTGGCCGGATCACACCTATGGTTCATCCTATAAGGGTACATGTGAATCTCTCTAAATGTAGAATATAAATGTCTTAACACAATAACTAAGAAAAAGACATGAAGGCTATGTTAACCAGTTGGATGAAAGTATTTCAAATTGTATATAGAAACAGTACACTGTACCCATGATAGTATTAATGTGCACTGCTATGATTTAATTTAAAAAAAAAAAAGACTCGGTAGGTAAGTAGAGGAAATCCCAGATGTAATTAATAAAACAGATTTAAAAGTCGGAAGTTGATTGTGCTGAACTTTGACACAATCTTTCTTGTGTGTGCCTAGTGGGGCACTGCTGGGGTCCTGGAAAAGGGACTCACACCTGCCTACATAGACAAAGACAAATATTTGCCCACCCACACTCCGCACATCCTTGCAGCTCACAGCAGATCGATCCCCTGACAGCTCAAAGCACTTACTGCCCAAAGAGGGGCTGTCAGCAAAGCTGCCTTCACCCCAACAACTTGTCTTCTCTAACTTGAGCGACAGTCAATGTCCACCATTATTCCAAGGGGTGTTTTTCCCCAGGACCCAGGCCCCTGCAGGAGTCTCCACTTGCTGGCCTCACAAGCTGTTTTCCGTTCTCTGAAATACTGGGACTTGACGCGTTCCTTTCGAGATAGCTCCAGTCCCACATAGCGCGCGCTCCGTCCCTCAAGGCTGGAGCCCGTGGCTGCCCAGCCTCTCCCACTCTGGGGAAACTTTGCCACCACCCCACGCGAAGTAACGACCACGGGCAGGGGGGCCACAGAGGCGAGGAAAGAGGTGCCCTCAGACAGAAATGAGTGAAGCCGGGCTTGTGCATGCCTTCCCCACGTGGAGAAAGAGAGAAAAGACTACTGAGCGACATGCGGGGATCCTCTTGGCCCTCCGAGCCCCCGTTTTTTGGTGGAGAAGGGACCAGAAAGGCCAGTGCTCCCACTTCCCCGAGGCAACTGTCCGGCGCCCCCAGCCTGGGCGTGATGAGACCCATGCCAGGTGCATGCTGGAGAAAGGGACGACCGGGCACAGATAATGCTTGCCTGGCACCTGCAAGGGACCATGCCCCCCTGCCTGGCGAGGGCTCCCAGCCTCACAGGATTGAGAAAGCAGAATCTGGCTTTTTAGCAGCCCCTCCTCTCCTCAAGTGGGTTCCCTGTCCTCGCACACCCACCGCAGAGGCCCCCCTGCCCTGCTCCGGCGTGTGCCCCGCGCCCTGTGCTCTCGCCCTGCACCACCCGCACCTGGATGTGGCAGGAGATCTCCGAGTCGTCCAGCAGCCGGATGGTGCATTTCATCTCCTGGCTGAGCGATTTGATGCTGGAGCTCCGAAAGTGGATCATTTTCATGGTCCTCCTGCCTCTCGGCACACAGTGGCAGAAGGCGAACATGCACCACGGCCCGGGGGAGCGAGCGGGAGGCTGGGGCCGGCGCGGTGCTCCCCTGCGCGGTCACACACACTCGCACACGCACTGTGCGGGACACCTGGGCGCGGCTCAGCCCCCGGACAGCGGCAGCGTCGGGCGCCAGCGGCCACACATGCCCGGCGGCCCGGGCGCGGCGGGCGGGTCCCTCGTCCCTCCTCCCTCCTCCTGGCTCGCCTCCGCCTCGCCCGCTCCTTTCCCCGCCTCCTTGTGTGGCGTGTGGCGCGCGCTCGGGCGCCTCCCTCAGCCCAGGATCGCTAGCCTAGGATGCCCGGAGCTGGTGACCCTCGGCAGGCGCGCGACACACTCACACCCACGCGCGCATAGCGGCTGGAGGAGGAGGTGGAGGGACAGCTGGCTCGGATGGCCCGGGTGCCCTGGCGGTGGCCTGCTCAGCCGTCGCCACCGCTGCGTCAGGCTGGGCCGGGCTGCCTTCTTCAGCCTCGCCGCCTCCTCCCTTCCCTGGCCGCGATTGCTCTGACTCCTGACGGTGCGCGCCACTGTCCCGGCTCCCCCTCTTGCCCGGCAGCACCCTGCCCTGCTCAGCCCCCGGGACCTGGCCGGGGTGGGGGGCGAAGAGCGATCCTGGCCCACGCCCGAAAGTGGGATTCCACCGCGGGCTAGGATCGCTGGGCCCAGAGGGAGCCCCTGAGAGGGACAGGAAGCCCATAGCTACACCGGGAATACCGCTGGTAGTAACAATCTCGGGTACTCATGGTGATTTTTTAAGTGGTTGCTTTATTTAACGTTAACCAGAGTCAATCCCCTTCTCTAAGAAATTCAGAGTCTTTCTTAAGCAATCCCTTGTTGGCATCTCCCAACATCTCAGTAAGATCTTTGTTAGCAGGATCTTAGAAAAGGGCAGGGGGACTCCCTGCCCTCCCTCCCGCTAGAAAGGCCCCCCTCCAGCTCCCTGTTGTCCAGGAATTGAGGAGTCTGTTGGCAAAAGAGATGTACCCCTGCCCCGTTTTAGACTGATCTCTGAGTACTGAGTGAGGACCCTGGAATTCCCTGCCCTGCTCCTGGGTGTTGAAGGGCTCTCCTGCCTCTCTCTTCTCCCCAGGATGACTCAAGCCCCTGAATGATGTACCCTAGGGCGTGGGGGGGGGGGGGTGCGAGGAGAGTGGTAGTGTCAAGGGGAGGCTGTGAGGCAGGTGAATGGAGCTTGAATATGAGGACTGGGACATGTAGGAGGGATGAGATAGAAGCCTTCTCACCCTTCTGCCTCTGCCTGAACAGAACAAGTCATTGCAGGAAAATTTGTCTGAGAGAGGATTTGTTCCCTAGCTGTCAGCTTTTTCATTGTTCGCTGCTACTCCTGCACAAAGCCCCCACATCCAAAGGTATACCCTGTCCTGGTGGTGGGGAAAGGGTGGCACAGAAATGTTCCCTACCCTGGTCCAGTCCCAGGGGCTGTGTATGCTCCAGGACACCTGGTGGGGTGGGCTGAGTCCTGGCAGGGTCTGCAACCCTCCATTTGGACGACTCCTCCTGTTTTTGGCTGCCTTCTCCAAAGTCTATCACTAATAAATACCCTGCAGGCCAGACTCTGTCTCAACATCTGCTTCTGGAGACTCCAAACTTTGTCAAGAAGGGAAGATAGAATACATTTCACACAACATTTGATAGCTGGATTATTGCTTATAAATATTGAGACAATAGTATGTGGGCCTCCATGTGTCTTCCTGCCCTGGGCCCTCCCAAAGTCCGGGCAGGGCCTGAGGGAGAGATCAGTATGGAGGGTTTGAGAAGATGTGAGTTTCATTGCTAGCCCAGATGCTGGGGAGATCTTCAAAGAGTCTCTCCATTTCTTTTCTCATTTCAAAGGGGAGTACATCCATAGTTGTTCTCCCAAGCCTATAGGTGGCTGGGAAGCTGGGATGAGACCAGGCTGGTGGAGGACAGGATATAGCCTGTAACCAATAAGTCCCATATGCGTGGAGCAGCTGGCAGGGATGAAAACGGCAGCTGTGGTTGAATTATCTCTCCCAACCAAAAGAACAGATCACCTAGAGATCCCACAAAAGTCACCACTGGATCCAGTGCATGCTTTTCCTCTAAGGCCACACACTTCTCCATCCCATTATGGGGAGCTGTAGTCCCCAAAAGACTCATATCAACACCCCCAAATTATCTCACATTTTAAGGAAGCAAAATAAGACCAGTAAGGACAGCAGCAAAAAGAACAGAACAAAGATGACCCAATGTGAGATCGCAAGAAACAGAATTTTGAGGAAATGAGGACCTGAGATCGGCTGTCTGGCCTGGTTAGGAATAAAGGCTGAGATTCACCTGGTAGGAAGATAAAGGCTCTAGAAGCACCTGGCATATTCTAAAAAGCCAGCTAGGTAAACTGCCATTTATGGTGACCTGCATTCAAGTACAGAGGACAAGCCATTGGGAAATCAAGTGGCCACTGTCAAAAAAAAAATAATGATAATAATAATATGAAGAGCAAGAGGAACTCAAAGAATGAACTCCAGGGATAAGTTTAAAACTGGACCACCTTCTTAAAAAGGCAGTGACATACTCTGAGTCTGAAATTCTCAACTCAAGGCTTTTACAAAGTCTGTATTTTCTTCTAATGACAGAGCTAGAAGAACGCTTTATTAATTGAACCATAAGGCTAAAACACCTGAAAAACCAATCTTTACAATTCCATCCACAAGTTATAGAACTACGAAGTCAATTGAATCATCAGCCTCACCATATTTCATACTTAATCAGGAGGAAAGAATGGGAATCTGAGACTAGGAATGGAACTTGGATGATTCCCAGGAACTCCACCCCCCACTCCCCCTTGGCAGCAGAAGCAGACCCTCTTCCTAATGTAATGAGGCCATTCCTGTCTTTTTTGAAGATCTTCTTTCACCCTCACCTGAACCAGTTATGCTAGAAAGGGAACCCAATCTCCTCCCACTCCTCTCTCCCCCATACCCCTGATACTCCCACTCTTAATACTTGAACCAGACCCAGGCACACCCTGGGAAATCGGTCACAAAATCAAGCCCAGGAAGAGAAAGAATTGCAAGATTCTGCTAATTTAAATTGAAAAGATGTGTATGAATAAACCCGAATTTGTCCACTTGAATGAACTTCCCAGTGACTCTGGCTTCAATGTACTATCTTATAAATTGATTGACTGACTTCTGGACTCAGCTAAATGAAGACAAGAAGGAAGAAATTCCCTGGTACACATGAGGAAAGAATACAGAGAATCAAGGAGAAGAAAATAGTGCAGTGGATTTTCAGATGCAGCCAGATTACCTCTTCTAATTGTATCTCTTGAGGGGGCCTCAACCAAGGCTTTCAGATAAGCACTGGTGAAGGAGGTGCACCATCTTTGAAAAACACCACAGTGGCTATACTCTGTGGCCAGTGGGAGAGATTTTGGTATCTCATGTTTAGTGGTAGTTGCGGTTGTTCCTTATCAAAAGCTTCCCAAACCATAGATTACAACACTTTGGTAGGCCACAAATAGATAGATGTTTATATATACTGTATATTAATTTTTTAACTTTTAAGCATTTTTGCAACAATTAAAAATTGATAATTGGGTGGCAGGTTCAAACCCAGCCCCAACCAAACTGCAACAACAAAAAAACAGCCAGGCATTGTGGCAAGTACCTATAGTCCCAGCTACTTGGGAGACTGAGGCAAGAGAATCACCTAAGCCCAAGAGCTGGAGGTTGCTATGAAATGTGATGCCACAGCACTCTATTAAGGGCGACAAAGTGAGACTCTGACTCTAAAAAAAAAAAAAAAGTTAGATATTAATCTAACAAAATATGTACAAGATCTAGACAAGAAAAACTAAAAAAAAAAAAAAACTCTTATGAAAGAAATCAAAGGACAAAATAAACAGAAAGATATTCCACCTTCTTGGATAAGAAGGCTTAACATTGTTAAGATGTAAGGTCTTCCCAAATTGATCTATGGATTTGGTGCAATCAAAATCAAAATCTGACCAAGTTATTTTGTGGATATCAACTAATTTTTTTGTAAAGGCAAATGAGCCAGAATAGCCAACACCATACTGAAGTAAAACAAAGTTAAAAGACTGACACAATAAGACTTCAAGATGTACTATAACATTATGTGCTCAAGACAGGGTGGTACTAGCAAAAGAAAAAAAAATCAATGGAACAAAACAGAGAGCCCATAAATAGACCCACATAAACATAGTCGATTAATCTTGAACTTAGAAGTCAGTCTAGTGGAGAAAGCATAATCTTTTCAACAAATGATACTGGAAAAACTGAGCAAAAGATCTGAACAGACACCTCATCACAGATATATAAATGACAAGTAAGTATATGAAAAAATACTCAACAACACTCAAATTAGATCTCCCATTTGACCCTGCAATTCCACTGCTAGGCATCTACCCAGAAGAAAAACAACCATTTTATCATAAAGACATTTGCACTAGATTGTTTATTGCAGCTCAATTTACAATTGCCAACACATGGAAACAACCTAAATGCCCATCAATTCAGGAATGGATTAACAAACTATGGTATGAATACCATGGAATACTATTCAGTCATAAAAAAGATGGTGAGTTAACATCTTTTGTATTAACCTGCTTAGAGATGAAACACATTCTTCTCAGTAAAGTATCACAGGAATGGAAAAGCAAATATCGAATCTCCTCAATACTATTATGAAGTCAGTAGCTGATCTAATTCTCTCACACAGGAGAAAAACTCATTTCAATTCAGGTTGTGGGGAGGGGGATCAAGGGAGGAAGCAGAGAGGAGTCGGGATTTAGGCTGCTCCCACTGAACAGGCACAATGTAGGAGTGTATGGCACGCCTTTCGGGTGCAGGGCATGCCTACAAGAGGGACTCTACCTAACAATTCAAATATTGCGATTGGGTCATTTGTACCCTCACATTAACCTGAAATTTTAAAAATGCTCAACATCATACCTCATTAAAGAATCACAAATTAAAACAACAATGAATGAGATACTACTATATAACTATTAGATGACCAAAATCCAAAACCCTGGCATACCAAATCCTGGTGAGGATGTGGTGCACCAGGAATTCTCATTAATCACTGGTGGGTACAGCCACTTTGGAACATAGTCTTATCATACAGTTCACTAATTGTGCTCCTAGGCATTCATGCAAATGGAAACTTATTGTTTTGTCCACACAAAGACTGCATGTTGATTT